CGCCTCCCTTTTGAAGCTTTTGCAACTGGTGATTTTGCACTTGAACTGGCATCCTTCCACAATTACGTATCAGTATCCAAATCAAACTCATGAGGAACAAAATCTTCTGTTTGATGATCTAATTAAGTAAGACTAATACTAAACGATGATAGTGAATCCACATGTATCGTTTAATTGAGTTGAAGATTAGTAAAAATTGATATATTGAAAACAAAAAAATGATGAAGAAATTCTTTAACTTTTTTTAAAATTTGAAATTGACAAAGTTAACCGTGATTTTGGGGAAGTTAAGGAGATGTGTGGAGAGTTTGGGGGATGTACTCGAGATTAGAAAAGAGAGTGAGGAAAATAGAGAATTTTGTAATTTTTCAAATGGTAGAAAATTTTAGAAAATATAAAAAATTAAGTTATATATTCAGGTAAATTTTTTTCATAAATAAATTCAATTAACATTTTCACCTAATCACAAAGTGAACAAGACCTACAGAACGCCCGGCCCTGTCATCTATTTCTATCTGGTGAGGCGTGTGAAGCAGCGGAGGGGAAGTAAGAATACCGCCGACAAATACGAAGATTGCTTGTGTTGATGCTTAGAATTAGTTGCAATGGCGCACAAAAGCATCTATTTTCCTGCCTTTATTCCACAGTTGCAGCGGCGGCGGTGGCGGCGGCACCTGCTAATGTATTGATGGAGTTCCTGGTAAATTCACTCGACTTCTCAACAAAAGAAGCCATTTCCACAAGAGACAAGTTAACTCGTTTGAGATACAGACACTATGACCCGCATTTGTTACTTCATCTTCTTGATGAAATGGGTATGAACAAATCACAGATCAAAACCCTTGTTTCTTCTTCTCCTCAATTGTTGTTTTGTCGTGTTGACGAAAATCTCAAACCCAAAATTAAGATTTTACAACAACTTGGCTTATCTGGGTCTCAACTTGCTACATTTCTTACAAAAAGTTCTTTTTTGAGAAGAGGTTTACATACTGTTATAGAGCCTAATCTTGTTTATCTAAGGGATTTGTTGCCCATTCATGACCATCTACCTATAAGTCTTATTAAAGAGCCTAGGTTGCTTTCCTGTAATCTTCCTAAAGTTATGCCACCCAATATATCATTGTTGCAAAATTTTGGCTTTTCAATGGCCGATATTCTCAAGGCTTTTCACAGGCATCCTAGGCTTCTGCTCAATAGTCCTGAGTGGATTGAGAAAGCAGTAAATCGACTAGAAAAGGATTTTCATATGCCTCTCAGTTCAGGGATGTTTCTTCATGGTGTTCAAGTACTTGTGTCGCTTGATGAATCCAAATTAGAAAGGAAATTACATATTTATCGGAGTTTTGGATGGTCTGATTCTGATATCTGCTTAATGGTGCAAAAACTTCCTTACTGTTTGACTTCATCAGAGGCTAAGATAAGGACTACGTTGAAGTTTTTCATGAACGAACTGGGGTATGAACCTAATTATCTGGCTTCTCGTGCACCGCTTTTAAAGCTTAGCTTAGAGAAGAGGATCATGCCAAGGAATGAAATCTTGAAATTTCTCAAGGAAAACCAGCTGCTAAAACGGTGGCCAAGTCTTTACACTGCTGTGTCATATTCTGAACTGGATTTTCAAAAGAAATATGTACTTCCTTTCAGGGAAAAGATGCCCGAGATGTATGATTTATACATGAAAAGTATAAGCTAAAGAGAAATCCTTACAGTGGAGACAATGGCTGCAGAGTGAAGAGGTTTATTCAGTTCCTTGAAAATATCTTTTTTATGCTCTTGTTAAGCATATTACTGCTTGTTTACTTTTCAATGCTGGAGATCTATTGCTGCACGATGACTTTTCAAAAAATTACAGGATGACAAAAACTAGAAATTGATATCAGTTTCATTTTCTATTCAACTGATGGTTCTTGTTTAATGACAAGAAAAGCAGTATAGAAATTCTTTCTTTTGTGTGCAAATTCAGGTTTATTCAACTCCGTGATGATTACAAAGAACGCAAAGCTTGCATCAATGTTCAGCTCCTTCTGGAATTAGCTTAGTTGGATCAGAAATCACATTCTGAAGATAAGAAATCCTTTTCTGCTAGTAGCTTAGATAGATATGGTAAAGCTCTTCCATCTCATAATGGATCTTTTTATTTCTGAGCTTGAAAATAGAGGGAAGTTCTGTTTATTTTAAGTTAGTTTGTCCTAGTTCAAAGTCTTATTTCGAGCTTACACTTAGTGATTTTTCAGTTTCCCTTTGTTGGATATATTTTTGAAACCTGCAAAAGTTTCTCATGATATTTGCTAGATGTGTCTCTTGCTATATTGATAATGATTGATGAGAAAGATATAGTTTTTTTTGGTATAAAGAGGTATCCTTTTTGCACTTACCAAAGAATATGCATTCTTCACAACTAGTAAGATGGATAGCTAGTTGTTGTTACTTATAATGGGTAGGGTGGCAGCTGCTTTGCCCATACACCAATCGAAGCTATTTCCCCACTTAGACTTCAAGGTTATATCCAACTTCGATATTAGTGGTAGTTTTTTCCCAATTACATTCATCTTGATGATCAAGTAATAGTCTCATGGAGAATAACTAAAGAATTGACACCACCACCATGTTTTTCTCCTCATCTACCACCACCGCTTCCTCCTCCTCCTTCGCCACCGCCACAACAATTATCACCTCTTCTTCCACCATCACCATCAACACCACCGACCTTCTCCTCTGTCACAACCACTGTCTCCTTAGCCAGCTCCTTCTCCACCTCATTTTCTGCCAATTTTTTTGAACAATTGATGAAGTTGCTGCAGCAACTATGCAGAAGTTGCTACAGTAATTCTACAATTGTTGAAGTTGCTGCAACAATATAAGCAACTGCTGCAGTTGCTATATCAACTGTGATATCGTAATTAATATTACCATAGTTGCAGTTGCTGCAACAATACTGCAGTTGCTATATCAACTGTATTATCGTAATTAATATTACCATAGTTGCAACAGCTATTGCAATTGTTGTAACAATTATCATAATTGCTTGATTTTCTACATTTATTTATTGTATTTGTTAAATCTACTAGATGACTGCATCCTGTAATTTATTATTACTCCCTTGGATAATGACTTTGTATGATGATTCATAACCAGAGGTGTATATGATGTTAGGCATAAATGCCTCAAGTTTGGCTTCGCAAATTAAACTTCAGAGTTCAGACGTATATCTCGAAAGCTTAAACTTGGCAAACCAAACTTTTGATGCGCGTGTCGGAATTTCACAAGAAATATGCTAAACTTGAGATAAAATTTGATGCGAATTTTGTAATTATAATCACAAATGGCTAAACTTACAAACTTAGGTTGGGATCGACCTCAACTCATGGTATGGAGGCACCAGAAAACGATTTTTTTCTCTCTTCTCTCCTCTCATAACGGCCTTTAACAGACATTTTGGTTGAGGAGGTTCACACTCCACCTTATGGAGTCATCGGAAAGCTTAATTACAGTGTGTACTATGGCACAAGAACCTGCTCCAGGAAGAAGAACCACCAACGATGAAGGAATTACAGGGAAAATAACTTAATTATGCCAACAATCCACAAAATTTGATCCCAATTTAAGGAGAATATCGTGATCAAAGGTCCCTTTAAAATGGGGTTTATGATAATTACACCATGTTCATTGATATCACTAACAAGGTTGACTTCTAGGCTTTTTGGTTCAAGCATGTAATTGATATTGACGCCATACAAATTTGCATTGATGTAAAGTCCACATACATTCTATCTTCTCAAGACAACTTGTAAAATTACATTAAATATGTAATTATTAGAGCAACTTTCACATATAGCAAACACAAAAATCATATTTGTATATTATAGCTATAGTTTGCATAATTGCGCTTTATAGCAAACTTTATGTTTGTTATGGCTATTTCGCTATACATATATACAAAACAAGCTGGCTATTTCGCTATACATATATACAAAAAAAGCAATTGTATAATTTGTTTCGGTATACATATACAAAAGAATCAATTGTATAATATGTGTTTATATAAAGCGAGAAAGAGAGAAAGACAAAAGAAAATTGGGCAGGGGAAGATCGTATTTGTATAATCGTAAGTGTATAGGACAAAAATATATGCATTTGTATTTGTATATACAATTTTCTCTCACTTTATACAAACACAAACGCAATGTATACATTTGTGTTTGTATAAAGTGAGAGAGGCGAGTGAGAGTGGCGAGCGAGATCTGGAAGAGTAATGAGCGAGATCTGGAAGAGGGGAGAGGGGAACGAAAATATATGTATATATACAATTTTATCTCGCTTTATACAAACACAAACACATTTTATACATTTGTGTTTGTATAAAAGCGAAGAGGCGAGCAAGACTGCCCAGCGAGAACGAGAGTGGCGAGCGAGATTCACCAGGAAGAGAGGCAAAATAACAACAGTTTGATATGGGGTACAATTAAATCAAATTATGGTTATAGCATTTAATTTGAATTAATAGTTTGCTATTATATACAATTTTTGTTGTAAAACTAAAGCAAAACAAAACAAGAAATATAGAAGATGAAAGCAATAGAAATAGGGAGACAAGAGATAAGAGCTTTTCTTATTATTCCAAGTCTTCAAGTCTATACAATATGAACCCTTATGTCTCTATTTCTAGTGTAACATAGAAGCATACAAAAGGTTAATCATAAACATGACATTAACATGAATATAATGGGGGAGGCTATGGAAGTGAAAGGTTACACGAATAATGGTTATAAAGGTGGAGGTTATGGTTATCTTCGTAATGGAGGAAAGTAATGGAGTAACTTCTTAATGTAGTGGACATCCACAATATATTATTTTATAACACTCCCCCTTGGATGTCCATAGATAATATGCCTCGTTAAAACCTTAATAGGAAAAAACCCTCTGGGATAAAATCCTAGTGAAGGAAAAAGAGTACACATATCTTTTAATACGCTTTGAATGTTGCCTCGTTAGAAACCTTACCAGGAAAATCCAATTGGGATAAAATCATGGTTAAGGAAAAGAGTACTACAACGCGTAATTTTCTCCCCCGATAAAAACTTTACTTGATATCTCGGAGATGATGCATTCCAATCTTATATCACAACTTCTCAAATATTGATGTTGACAATCCTTAGTGAATAAGTTTACAAGATTATCACTTGAATGGGTCTTTGAACGTCTATCTCACCATTTTGTTGAAGATCACGTGTGAAAATGACTTTTGGTGAAATATACTTTGTCTGATCTCCTTTGATTGTATCCTCCCCTTCAATTGAGCTATATATCATTTTTGTATATGGTGGCTAGAATATCCTTTTCAAAAGAAAATCACATATTTTCTGAATATGAAAGATCATGATTCCAACCAAACACACTCCCAACTTTCTTTATAGATCAATATTATTTCTGCATGATTTGATTCTTTGAATGCCAAGATTTTGTTGTGCCTCTATATATAAATAAATAGTCCATTTGTGATCGAGCTTCATGCAGATCAAATAAATATTCTTCATCTACATAATCAAATTATTTTTGACATGGAGATTCATCATTTCAATTTTATTGAAGCTCGTCTTTTCTTCGCAAAGAAAATCACACATCTTCTATGTGTTGAGTCACTTGCTTTGTTAGTTTCTTATCATAACTTGAATGATAATATGACAATCCTTTCACATAACTTTCGTTATGTATATCAAATAATCTTCTAGCATTTGCATAACCAACAATCTATAAGTGTACCAATTGCACTAATACACGGCATTTTAAATCATTTTCATGAGATCAAAAATATTATTTCTCTGTGTTAAGCAGTCTCAAAACCATTGGGTACTCAATGGAATTGCTTTAAGACCTTTTAAATTCTTCAAGGATTTTCATATAACCTTCATCGTTTAGTTAGACATGATAATCATTCATTATGCATATTCAAATATTTCATCTATATTCAGACTGAAACAAGTCTCATTGCATCCATCACTGGAGAATATATCTCCATTTAATACTGTCAGGATTTTTGCGAAAACCCTTTATGCCTCGAGGCACAAACCACACTTTATATCTTATGGTTATACTTTCGCACAATAATTCATTTGTACCACACTGACATTATATTTTGATCCATGAACTACAAGATCAAAACATCACTTTTCTAAGTGAAACAAAATATACTTGAATAGTGCCAATCATTTATCTGTCCACACTATATGACAGATTCAAATAAGATCCTCGTAACCATTTATAACATTGAGTGCTACTTCATATCAAAGATATCGTCGACAGTCTTTTTGATATCGATTCCAACACGACATAACTTATCGAGATCTCTTCATTTTTCATCATTTTCAGGTACCTGAACCTTTGCCAAGGTTTTATGAAGTGTTACGTCATAGTGCTCTTTCAAAGCACTTACCTCATCATCATGACCATTTTGATAATTTGCTCCTCTCCTTCCTCAAGGAGTTTTACGTTTGAAATCGATTGGTCTATCACGCTTCTAGCGTATCATAGACTTTGTCCTTCAAGGACTATTTATTGGAGCATTTGCAGCTTGATTAAAATATTGGGTTAGCAAATACATCTGGCAAATTATTTGCAACATTTTGCAAATGAATTATCTCTTGAACTTCAAGTTCATTTTTTTTAACGAGGATCTTAGATAATTCACCCCACACATGATTTCAGCTACTAACATATCTCCCCCTAATGTTAGGAAATCTAACATTTACCCCAACCTCATTCAGGGATCCATCTTTGTGTGTGGTGGAGCAATAAAATCATATCTGCACACATCAAATTTTAAATGGAAATTATTTGGTTCCTAACCCTGAACCAATTGTGATGGGAGAACCTTGTTGGCTTGATGCATACATGTTAAACAAACTCATCTCACACCAAATTTTATTTGAGAGATTTGTTCTCACAATCAATGGTCTAGCTATAATTGGAGGCAAACAATTTATGCTAAACCAACCAGTATTATCAACATAATTTTATAGTTTGGAACTGTGCTCTTAATTTAATAATTCGAGCAAACAACCTTACAAAAATCAAATTGTAAGTTGATACAAATGCACATGTGACCATACCATAAATGCATCTATTAAATCATAATAGTAAGCGGTCCACATGACAGGTGAACGGGCCCATATTCACCTTTTTATATGTTCCAAATAATTTCAAGGGGTACAATCCCAACCTTAGCTGGTACAATGATCATTTTATCATGAGAACAAGCAAACACAAGAGAAATTTTTTGAAGAATCTTTTATTT